AAAAATAAGAGGAAGGGAGGGGGGGGGGGGGGGGGGGGTCCTTCTTTAGAACAATTGAGAACCTCATTAAATAAAAATGAGCACGAGCACAGAGAAATTAATGAGGCTAAAAGTTGATGATAATTTGTATCCAGCATTGAAGAAGGTTTATTGAAGAAGGTTTAATGAAGAAGGAATCTGATTTGTGTTTTGATGGGATCTTAAATTCAGCTTATTAATCTTGGAAATGAATTATCAGCCACAAAACAAGAAATTGCTAATATAGAAACATTTTGGTGTGAAAAGGAAGCTTTTCAAGCAATTTGGGCTGCAGAAGAAAATAAGGGTGTTACTTTTTTCTATGATAATTTCATATAGCCAAACTTTCATCAACGGCAGCCATAAAGAGATCACATAATACAGCTGTTGTCCGAACAACGGCCACAGTCAGCTTTCAAAGAATTACTTTACACTGTCATTGTATACTTTCCTTGAAAAATTGTTGAAAACAAGTGGAAATTTTCATGTTTCTAAAGCAGGGAAGGATCACAATGCTCATTCTAGTTCCTTGATGAGTTATGTCAAATGGTTAGAGAATGGTTAACGAATGACTTGTATGGATAATGGAGTCTTTTAAGTGATGCTCACTGTGGTTTTAGAAAAGTAAGTAGCTCTATAGATCACATCATCATCCTTGAAAATTACATAAATGATGCTTAGGAGCATGTGATTGCTATTTTCTTTGAGTGTTTAAAAAAATGACTTCAGCTTAGAAGACAGCTGCCTACTTGTATTGACAACATGTCAGACAGACTTTTTAAAGTCGAAAGCAGATTGACATTGGTTACTCGTTCATACAGTTCTGGCTTGTTTTCACAAATTCAGTTTTGTAGTTTTGTATTTTCTCGTTTTTTGAGACAGTAACGGTATTGTTTTCAAAAACCTGCACTGCGAAACCTGTTTTCAGGCCCTCAAAATGTCATTGTTGTGTAAATAATCAGGTGAAGCGCATAAAGTATTCCGTTTTTTCATTGAAAATGGTGTCATCATGTGAAGGCCCCCTTAAATTGAAAAGGATGAAATGGCCAGAATTGAGTGCCATTTTTATGTTAATTTAATATTTACTGTAACACTTTAGCATAGGGACAAATTCTCACTATTAGCTAGCATCTTATTAGCATACCTATTATTAACATATTAGCTGTTTATTAGTGTTTATAAAGCATGAGCAGATTCTACTTTATATTCTGCATGAGCATATTCTACATCCCTAATACCTAAACTTAACAACTACCTTACTAACTATTAATAAGCAGCAAATTAGAAGTTTACTGAGGCGTAGTTAATAATTTGTTAATAGCGAGAGTTGGACCATATTTACTATCATTTATTTATTTATTTGTTAATGATTTGTAAAGATGAAACACAAAAATGCTGTTATATTGTTTAAAAATTGTAAAATGTATCCAAATATGCTAGTTTATTCCTGAGAATATGCAAGGTAAGAGTCTGAGTCTGCCGTGTCTGTTAAGCTGCGTATGTTTTTGATATCATATATGCCCAGAAAGACTAAACAGCTCCTTGGCGATATGTTAATTTCCAACAGTGACAAGAAGATTATTTCAGCGATTAATTCAGCTTACGCTGAAAGAGCGTAAGCCCTCAGTTCCTCCCCGTCTGCTTGTTTTTCCTGTCGTTTATTTGTCTTTCTTTGAATAGGCCTCTCCTCTTCATCATGAGACGTCTGCCTTAACACAAATGATATCTGTCACGATTAGCGTAGCAGCGAGCATCTGTTTTTGCATCCCATTGATTGTATTGAAATTTCTTGCCGCTGGCACTGAATGTGGATGTACAGTATTGATGGTGCTCTCAGGATAAACACACGGCATGGTCATACCTCCCATAATCCCCTGTGGCTCAGCCCTGCTCATTAACTCTACATCCAGATCAGCTCACCGACGTCTGCCAGAGAATACCTCTAAGTGCTTCTCATTCAATCTGAAGACTTGCAGAGATATTGAGTAGGGTTGGGTATCGAAAACAGGTTCCATTTTAGAACCGGTTCCAAATTTCCAAGAGCCGGGTATTCGACAAGACACGTGCATTTCGATTCTGCTTAATGATTCCTGCATTTTAATCGCATTTTAATGTGATTTAAAAACGATTTAAGCACAGGAACGGAAAGAACTTGCGCCCTGTTTGCGTGCAGCGCACACGAAGTGCAAGCGTGAGCACAGAGAACAGAGGTCGCGGTACGGGTTCCCGGTTTGTGTCTGTTCTCGAACCGTTCCGTGTATTTCCACTGTAGAAAAGGTTGTTCCGGGCTGAAACTGACTTCTTTCATATTTGTCGACCAATATGCAGAAAACTACTTCAGTATATCATCATAAACACAGCCGTTTTTGTCTTACGTGAACGTAAACAGATGAGAAAGAAAGCACACATGTACAGTATTTTTAGATGTGCGTGCGTTCGGTGTTAGAGAGACAGCAGTCTAATAAACACGCTATCTGTCATTAATGTTAATCAAAGAACAAAAAATCATTCACTGATCTTGACTGAATATATTTAAGAACTTTAGTTGATTAATCTATATTTTTTTTTATGAAAAGAAAACTATGCAGTGTTTTTAAACTTTTAATTACAGTTTCTGGACCTGAAATTTTGTTCAGTTGTATTTATTTATGATATTGCTAATTGATTTGTTTGTTCCTATCTTATTACTTACTGTTTACTTGTCTTTAACACTTTAATATTTGGAATTTATATTAATCTAGTTGTTTTTGCTGTGGTATTTTTTTTTTTAAAGCATGGGCAAAATTCCTCTTGCAGTGTTCTGTAGGCTGCTGATTTTTGCTCGTGTTATTCAGCTGCAACAGAATGCTTTGTAAAAAGACTGAATAAATGTTTGACATCTAAATGTTTGACTTAATTTTTTTTTTATATTGGATTTTTTTATCTTATTGGAATCTAAACTAGGAATCGATAAGCGGAATCGGAATCGATAAAATTCAAACGATACCCAACCCTCATATTGAGTATGGTGCCACCCTACTGAAGTGACATCCCCGTCACGAAGCACTGCTGAGGCCCCTTCACTTCCTGTGTCTCCTAGGGAGCGAGCCGAGGGTATTGTTATGGGAATCCTCTTTGATTAGATTATTGTGTGCTCCCTCTCTCTCTGTCTCTTCAGAGATGGACTGCATGTATATTTCATGAATGTTGGTCGGGATGTAAGAATTGATCTCGCCGATGATTCTGCTGGATCATATTTTAAAAGGGGTAACGTTATTTGTATTATTTTCATCTCTTCTGTTTTGTCTGCTGTTTTTGCAGGTTGTGACAGAAGCCTGATGTTGCATTCGTGAAATTGTGAGAAGCAAGAAGCCTTTCTCCTCGTCCTCCTCCTCTTCATCACGCTTGGCGGTGTCACACTGTATCTGGACAGCCCTGGTTTCATTCAGTGAGGAGGCGACTGAGTCGTGGACTGTTTTTATGGCACTTTGTTGAAGAGATTGAGCGAGCAAGGAGAGCAGAAAGAGCAAATCGCAGTCGCTGAGTGTTGCCGTGGCTTATGGAGGCAGGGCAGGATTGAAACGCATCGGCTCACTCTCAGTTCTGTTGTTGATTGCTCTTCTGTCCGGTCAGAGATGGGCATCCTGGGGTGCGGTGTACTCGTGTTTGCGCTCTTCTTTCAGTGCCATAGCCGCAGTGTCCAAAACCCCATGTTCAGGTTCAAGAGGTGAGACAGTTCAGTTCCTTAATGGATATTTAATGCTTTTTTTGATCACACTTTAATGTGTCCTATTAATTACACTGAGTACTGAGTAAAAAATTCACACATTAATTACAGGTAATTTTCTGTAGTTACTACATGTAACATGGACACAAGTAAATTGTTACCCTTTTTTATTTTAACTTAAAGTAGTAACAGCATACAGATGCTATTATTTGTGTTGTTTTTGGTCATATAGAAGTGATCCAACAACAAGAGTTTTATTTTTGGGATGCACTGAAATGAATATTTTACACTGAAACAAACAGAAACCAAAAATAATATTTATTTAATAAACAGTTTATTAATCAAGTGTATTAATCCAAACTCAAATAAAAACGGAGCTACATAGAAACATTTAAATTGCACATAAGGCAGTTTTATATCACTCCATTCTACTCCAATTTGTTGTTTAAATAGTGGCAATAATAGATTTATTTAAACATACATTAAATAAAAAATCATTAACAGTGCATATATAGTGCACTCTATATATTTAGTTATTATTAGAGTTATTTTTTTCTAGTTGATTCAACTTTTTGGACATTGATTATCAATTAAATGAATTAGATCAATTAAATTTGAGAAATTGATATAAACTCATGTTTTCCCACTGTAGCTTATCCACATTTTGTGCACGAATTAGACACTGGCAAAACACTCCATTGGAGAAGAGTTAAGGAACATTTAAGGAACAGGAACTGCACTCCAGTGGTTTGAGTCTTACCTCTCAGATAGGTCCTTCAAGATATCTTGGAGAGATGAGGTGTCCAAGTCACATCATCTAACTACTGGGGTGCCTCAGGGCTCAGTTCTTGGACCACTTCTCTTCTCTGTCCACATGGCATCACTAGGTTCTGTCATTCAGAAACATGGCTTTTCATATCACTGCTATGCTGATGACACTCAACTCTACCTCTCATTCCATCCTGATGATCCGACGATAGCTGCTCGCATCTCAGCTTGTCTAACAGACATTTCTTGCTGGATGACGGACCATCACCTTCAACTCAACCTGGCTAAGACAGAACTGCTTGTGGTTCCACCAAACCCATCGTTTCATCACAATTTCACCATCCAGTTAGGCACATCAACCATAACTCCTTCAAAAACAGCCAGAAACTTTGGAGTTATGATTGATGATCAGCTGACTTTCTCAGACCACATTGCTAAAACTGCCCGGTCCTGCAGATTTGCTTTATTCAACATCAAGAAGATCAGGCCCTTTCTTTCAGAACATACAAAACAACTGCTTGTTCAAGCTCTTGTTCTGTCCAGGACTATTGCAATGCTCTTGGCAGGCCTTCCAGCCAGTTCTATCAAACCTTTACAATTAATCTAAAAGAATGCACGTCACACCTCTGTTTATCAGTTTGCACAGGCTACCAGTAGCTGCTCGCATAAAATTCAAGGCATTAATGTTTGCCTACAAAACCACCACTGGCTCTGCACCCCTTTACCTTAATTAATTACTTCATAGTTATGTGCCCTCTAGAAGAGGGCACATAACCATCTCAAAGAGGCACAAAATCACTTTCACTGACTTTTTCATTAAATGTTCCCTCCTGGTGGAATGACCTGCCCAACTCAATCCGAGCAGCTGAGTCCTCAGCCATCTTCAAGAAATGACTAAAACACATCTCTTCCATCTTTATTTGACCCTCTAACTCTAGCACTCTCTGTTCTAACTCTATTCTTTATAAAAAAAAAATAACACTTGCTTCTCTAATCTTTTTGCATTCTATCTATTTTTTTACAATTATAATTCTGACTTTATGACTTGTTCTGATTAACAAAAGCAAAAAAGGCCTCTAACACTAGCCTGCTCTATTGTTTTTCTATTCTATCTGATTTCTTTTTATATATTATATGATAAAAAAAAAAAAACCTTGCTACGTGTACTGCATTAAGCTAACTGAGACTTGTTATAGCACTTGCATATTATTGCTCTTTTGTTTATTTTGATTGCTTCCATTGTCCTCATTTGTAAGTCACTTTGGATAAAAGCGTCTGCTAAATGACTAAATGTAAATGTTACTGATTTCGGCCCCCTAAAAGCATTTCAGCCAAAATGTTGATGCATTACCTTTTTTATTTATTCATTTGTTTTATTTTATGTGTTGAATTAGTTAAATTAAGGGGTGTTTACACAGTTCTGTTCTTTTCTAATCGGTCTGATTACACATGATGGATGATAAATCAAAAACAAAACACAAAAAACAGGGATCCTAGCCATATAGAATATAAAAAGGCCCTATGAAATTCCATTTAATCTTTTCGCAAACCTAAAATGAAATCTGCGTTTTTGCTTTCATTTTTCTGAAATCTGTTGTATGGTTTTAATACCATCAAAAAGTTTCTGTAATAGGACTGAACGATTTGGACACAGGCATATTGCAAAATATTGTCAAATAAAAGTGATATTCTAAAACATTGCAGAAGCAGGCATCACTAGTTCTAGGACAGGTTCATTGATTGTGCGCTGTTCCAGCCAATTCAGTTTGATTTGGTGAACGGATTCAGCTATTTCACTGACAAGAAGAGGGGAAGTTTACAGGCTTTAAGAAATGTAAGAAAATTCTAGATTTTGATGAAAGTCTGATTAAGAAGTCCCAACTTAGGTGTCAGCCTTTTAGAGATGTTACTGTTGCTAATTTTAGTAAATTTATCTGAATGCAGACTCAACTTAATATCGGTACTTTACTGTCAAATATGCATCCTAGCAACTCAGATAGCAACTCTTTTTTTGGTAACAACATTTTTTTTGGTAACAGGTTTCAGGACAATGACTGCTCAAGGACCAGACATCCATTTGTCCTGTCCAATCCTTACAACTTTTCCCTCGATATTCGTTTACCAGGGGTGATTCCAACAGAGGTAAGAGTTATTCATGTCTTTTTTTTTATTTGTGCGTTTCCTCACATTTCCCCCTGCTTGTTCTCCATTTAGTTTTCACCACAGTTTTGAAAAATGCAATAAAAGTGAGCGTGTTAGTTCGTGGAGAGGAGGGGAAAAGCGGAGAGCAGCAGCACAATGTCTTCTGTTTTATTTCACTTTCATTGAGTTAAAAGCATCAAAGGTTCCCATAAACGAATGCTGCACTTCTTCATTCCCTGCATCAAAATGAACATATAGTTTAAATAAACACATCCTGTGACAGCTATAATTCAATACAGACAATAAATGCACAACCGTTTGCATTTGTACTCTGGGTGGAAAATAGAAATAAGCACACTATTGCTTATTCAATTAGTTCTGAGACTGTTATTTTGTGGTGTATATTCAAGGCTTTGATCAGTTGCATCAAGGAACTGTAAAAAACGGTTTCATGCATGTGTGGATGGATCACATTTGTGCTGGATACTCAGGGTCTATGGAGGAGAATTCATGCCAAGCAAAAACAAACACTCATTGTGCAATCAATAAACATGTCTATCCACTACTGTACACAATCTTAGAGTTTGAAGCATCTGTCATAGGAAATAAACACATGCTGTTATGAATATTTAAAAGAATAGTCTTCTTATAGGATAATGACACACAGTCTCATGACTAGTTATGAGACACAGATGAGTCATCAAATGCACTGTAGGGATAATGAAGATTTTAAACCCACAAGACCAAAATTAACCAGTTTTCTCTGAAATTAATGGACTTTAACATTGTTTTCTATGATGTGCAGCAAAACACCCCTTTTAACGTCTCAAGTTTTGTAGTGCAGTACTGTTAAAAAGATTTGAAACCACATTTGTGATGTTTTATTTGATCTTCAAAGGCATCCAGATGCATAGAGGTTTAATTTTTAATGTCTTGATATTAACAGTTTTCTTGCAGGGCTATGGTCTGGGCTGCATCCCCTCACACTTTGTAATTATTAGAGCTGTAGTCATTGCTGCAGATTTAAGCTAGTTTTCTGTATAGCTGACAGTGCTGAATGCACCGAACCTTGTTACTCAGGCAGCTGGAGAAAGAGAGAATTACAGCAATCACAAGCAAGCCTAAATCAGAATGACTGAAAAACAAGAAAAGTACAAGTACTCCAGTCTTCAGTGGAAACATTTCTTAAATACAGTTGTGCTACTTAATATTTATGTAGAAACCACGATATACTACCAATCAAATGTTTGGTTTGTTTGTGTTTTTAATAGAAATAAATGCTTTTATTCAGTAAATTTGCATTAAAATTATCAAAAGTGATAGTAAAGTATGGTCGCAAAGAGGCGTAAAAATTCCTGTAAATTTCCAGAATGGGAAGTTAAGTTGGGGAATTTTAGAAATTTTGGAATTGATGGGAATTCATTTAAAATTGAGTAATTTATACAAAATGTATCATAAATATAAAAAGTCTGTTAAAAATGTCAGTTGACGCATGTGGCATTGTTCTGCAGAATAAGTGAAAAAATAAAAAAAAAAGTATCACAGATTTTTGCATTTATAATGTTACAAAATATTCTATTTTAAATAAATGCTGTTCTTTTGAACTTTCTGCTCATCAAAGAATCCTGAAAAAAAATTTCCACAAAATATTAAGCCACAAAAATTGATAATAATAATAATACCCAATATTAATAACCAAGCACCAGTAATAATTAGGAAAGCAAAGCATATAGTACTTCAGTACTTGGTCAGCTTTTGTAAACATGGTCTGATGATCAGTAATGAATGTGTGTATGGAAGTGCCTAATAAGTGTTTGTTTCTTATCAGTCTGACAGCTACTACTGTATGGCTGTTCCTGTCCCCACGTCACAGGAGGCCTACATAGGTGAGTACATGATCATCAACAATGGGAAATCACAGAGACGTGTAGTCTTTACTAAATAAACCTCCAAAGCCAAAAACATGAGAGAACAAGAACTAAGACTCACCACATGAATCGTCTACGAACCGATAAAACTTGAGACTGAACAAGAAAGTCATGAGGACGTAAATACACAATGAATGAAACCTGGCCTCTTTATTCTTATGAGTGCATGTGCACTGTATTTTTTGGACAAGGAGTACTGAATACTTTTGTAACATATAATAATAATTTTAGTAGGGATGGACAATTTACAATATATATATATATATATATATATATATATATATATATTAACACAATAAGTCAGTATGTCAACCAAGTATTGTTTTCCTGCAGTGCTACACCTTAAGCGCCACGGGAATTGAAATCATATTTTACCTGAGTTTTGGATATGAGATTACAGGCTGAATTGCATGCGATGAGATAACAAGATAGTGCATGCCTTTCTATAACTGTCCTGTGCTTTCGAGCTGCGAGCACAAACAAACACATACAGTGCAAGCATTGTAGTCTGATTGACTGGAAATGACTCGTACACTGGAAATGGGTGTATTTGATGAATCATTCACAAAGTAAATCATTCACTGAGGGAACCCGCTGAATCAAAGCAGTTACTTATTAAACCGCATGTTATCATTACTTTGAGCGATATCCATCTTGAAATGAAGCGTGTTTTGTGTTCTGAGGGTTTGTGGGACTTCAGTCGTTGTAATTGCTGACTGGTTGTGAGGAAATCTTCAGCTGTCCATGAATGTGTTGTGTTTCGTTGTGGTGGTCTTTAGAGAAGGCAGGCTGTAGTTTGCAGAGTAACAGGTCCACCCAGACGTCTGCATGTATCTGAGAGTTACATTATCTCTGTCTTGCTACTGCCATCAATCAACATCCCATCTATTATTCATAGCTTCAATAGAGAGAGAAGCCTTTTCTGAAGATATCCATCACTTTTTATATAGCTAGCATATTGATGTTCATTGTGGTTTATGCTGAGCAAACAGCATTCCGCCTTTCAGACTCTTCACAGAGGTTTCATGCAAATTTTTTTTTTTATTGTAAATAAAACACTTTTAAATAGAGCTGACTTTTCAGCTGTTTGTTTGCAGAAATGCTACAACACCGATTTATCGAGAAACGGTTGATTCAAGATGCTTACCTTACCATCTTACTATGTTAAGATTTCATTCCTGACTTTAAAACACTTTTCTCTTCTCAGTGGACTTTGTTCCCCATGCCACTATGGACACAGCCCACCACATGATTTTATATGGCTGCAAAACCCCTTATGCCACCCAGGGATATTGGTGAGTCATGTCTGACACCTTGAGAACTACAGTGACTGGAGGATATTTAATGCTTAAGTTTTCTTCTTTCTCTTTTAATTGATTTTTTATGTTTACCAAACTTTCCTTTTTCCAGCTTATAAAAACATTTTCAGGCTGGTTGGGATGCTCAAACAAAAAGACCATACATATTGTACAGATATGCTAACATTGAAAAATGAGGGTCAGTTAGTTACATTATCGTTCAAAAGTCCAATCAGTATAATCACACACAGCTGGACTCAAATGAAGGTGTGGAACCATCTCAAGGATGATCAGAAGAAATGGACAGCACCTGAGTTAAATATATGAGTGTCACAGCAAAGGGTCTGAATACTTAGGACCATGTGATATTTCAGTTTTTCTTTTTTAATAAATTTGCAAAAATGTCAACAATTCTGTGTTTTTCTGTCAATATGGGGTGCTGTGTGTACATTAATGAGGAAAAAAATTAACTTAAATGATTTTAGCAAATGGCTGCAATATAATAAAGAGTGAAAAATTTAAGGGGGTCTGAATACTTTCCGTACCCACTGTATATATTATATTATTATTAAATTATTAAGCAAATATGACTGTTTCCACAAAAAAACATCCAGCAGCATTGATAATAATCAGAAATGTTTCTTGATCAGCAAATCAGCAAATTAGTATGATTTCTGAAGGATCATGGGACACTGAAGACTGAGTAATGATGCTGAAAATTCAGATTTATATGTTTAACATATATTCAAATAGATGAAAGCTGTTATATATTGTAATAATAATTACCAATATTACTTTTTAATTGTATCAATGATCAAATAAAGCTTTTGAATGGTAGTGTGCATACATGCAACAGTTGCACAAACTGTAATTACAGCGTTAAGGATTACGTGTTTCATCTGTTCAGTGTTACTTCTGTCTCTGTTCTATGTGTGTAGTCAACTATGAATAAGCCACAGTCGGCTTGAGCGCCTGTGACCTTGTGGTGCTTTCAGAGCATTAATCTCTTTATTTGAGCAGTTTGACATGTTAGCTTCTGATTCAACCAGAAGTGTGAGTTTGGAGAGGTTGCCACAGTTCTTCTGGATTGAGTCAGTCTCAGTTTGTTCTGTTTCTTCATGTAATCCCAGACAGACTGGATGATGATCAGATCAGATCTCTGAGTGGAGTGCTGGCTGCTGTCAGACAGAAATCTCTCGGAGTCTGGATTATTACAATTAATGGCAAAATGAATGTTTGGAAATGTAAACTGATATTTCCTACTGACACACTACAGCAAAAGATAGAAATAACTGACTTAACCATTTTTTAGCTGCTAAAAATACTAATCTTCTAATCATTTTGGACACCACTGTGTGTGTGTGTGTGTGTGTGTGTATGTATGTATGTATGTATATACAGTGGGGCAAATAAGTATTTGATACACTGCTGATTTTTCAAGTTTTCCCACTTACAAAGAATGGAGAGATCTGTAATTTTCATCGTAGGTACACCTCAACTGTGAGAGACAGAATCAAAAAAAAAAATCCAGAAAATCACATTGTATGATTTTTAAATAATTAATTTCCATTTTATTGCATGAAATAAGTATTTGATCACCTACCAACCAGCAAGAATTCTAGCTCTCACAGACCTGTTAGTTTGTCTTTAAGAAGCCCTCCTATCCTCCACTCATTACCTGTATTAATTGCACCTGTTTGAACTTGTTACCTGTATAAAAGACACCGGTCCACACACTCAATCAATCAGACTCCAACCTCTCCACTATGGGCAAGACCAAAGAGCTGTCTAAGGACACCAGGGACAAAATTGTAGACCTGCACAAGGCTGGGATGGGCTACAGGACAATAGGCAAACAGCTTGGTGAGAAGGCAACAATTGTTGGCGCAATTATTAGAAAATGGAAGAAATTCAAGATGACTGTCAATCTCCCTCGGACTGGGGCTCCATGCAAGATCTCCTCTCGTGGAGTATCAATGATCCTGAAAAAGGTGAGGGATCAGCCTAGAACTACACGGGAGGACCTGGTCAATGACCTGAAGAGAGCTGGGACCACAGTCTCAACGGTTACCATTAGTAACACACTACACCGTCATGGATTAAAATCCTGCAGCGTGGGCAAGGTCCCCCTGCTCAAGCCAGCACATGTCCAGGCCCGTCTGAAGTTTGCCAAAGACCATCTGGATGATCCAGAGGAGGCATGGGAGAAGGTAATGTGGTCAGAGGAGACCAAAATAGAAGTTTTTGGTATAAACTCCACTCAACGTGTTTGGAGGAAGAAGAAGAATGAGTATAATCCCAAGAACACCATCCCAACCGTGAAGCATGGGGGTGGAAACATCATGATTTGGGGGTGCTTTTCTGCAAAGGGGACAGGACGACTGCACCGTATTGAGGGGAGGATGGATGGGGCCATGTATTGCGAGATTTTGGGCAACAACCTCCTTCCCTCAGTAAGAGCATTGAAGATGGGTCGTGGCTGGGTCTTCCAGCATGACAATGACCCCAAACACACAGCCAGGGCAACTAAGGAGCGGCTCCGTAAGAAGCATTTCAAGGTCCTGGAGTGGCCTAGCCAGTATATACATATACACACATACAGCGGGTAAAATATGTATTGAACACATCACCATATTTCTCAGTAAATCTATTTCTAAAGGTGCTGTTGACTTGAAATTTTCACCAGATGTCTGTAACAACCCAAGTAATCCAGTACAGCAGCCATATTACCTGATAAACAAACCTCAATACAATAACTCCAAATATAATCAAAAAGGCACATATACTCTTGGTATAAAGTCAGGGTTTTTGAGAAAGTTAAAACATATCTGAGGTATACAGTGTCTCTGTCTCATTTTAACCACAGCGGCTTCATTTCCCTGCTATTAGTCTTCACCATGTGGATTTCCATATTGCAATTGCTTCCCTCTTTTTAATGTCACTCGTATATTTTAATAAATTTTATCGTGCAGATACTGCAGGGTGCTTCTCGTGGCATGCATGGCATGCTTTCATAGTGAGAGATGTGAGGCTTCAGAAGCGCTGAGGATCAGCATGAAAATAGGCTAATTATACCAAACCTGGCCAATGTTCAGAAATACTAGATTCAGAGAGGCCATGAGTCATCTGCGGCCCCAGTGCAGTGGCATGATACACTACCGAAAACTAGCCAGTAGAGGTTTTAATAAGAGGGGAGAAAAAAAATCAGATATGTTTAGAGTGTGAATATGTTTCTATTAGACAGAATGAGAAGTTTACGAGGAACTCTACACATTAGAACATGACAATGTTGAAAAAGTAAAAAAAGATACGCATACATATGTGTTGGATGTCCTTTTGCAATGGTGCAGGAAACACTTTAGTTACACTTTGTTTTTAGGTGTCGTTGGTACGGTGTAATTATACATTTAAGTACTGAGTAATATTAATTAACTACATGTACTTGATTCGGATTTGGTTTAGGGTTACTTGCATGTAATTATGCATAATTTATTGTTATTATAATAGTAAGTACATGTAACGTGTAACAAGGACATCTTAAAATACAGTGTTACCAACACTTCTCAGAAAAAAACAGACCAGCATGTGTGTTTGAGCCTCCCAACCAAATGTCATGGAGGAATAACAATGCATCTCCATGTGAGAATTGTTCAATTTTACCCCCTTTCAGTGGTTGAACAATCAAATGTGGGACTTTGAACCACTGTGTAGTGTACAGTTTAACAATTTACTCTCTGAGCCACATAGAAATCCCCATACCTGTGTAACTGAATTATATAGGGCCCTTTAAATGAAGATACCAAAATAAAATATAGAATGTTTCTTGACTTGCGAGCATGTAAACTTTGGAAAATAAAACCACACAAAAAGTGCTTTTTTACCATTTCCCCCCCCCCCATCAGCATATGCAACAAATGCAAAAATGCAACAAAGATATTTAAAGTCTACAGATTTTACTAATAGATCTATAGACGTATAGATTTACTATAACAGTGCTGCTGCTATCTTTCTGAAGTCATTTCTCCCCCCTGGTATTTAGTTTCAAATGTCAGCTGAAAATTCTCATTTTGACTGCCCTCTACAAAATAATGGATTACTCAGCAAATATTCATCCAAGGCATTTCATATTTTGCCTTTTTCTTCATTGATGTATTTCTTTCACCAGAAAAAAAAAATCAAAATCAACATTTTTATCTGGTTGAGTTGACACAGGATGACCCTATTGCAAATGTATGTGTTGTAATGAGTAATAATGATTCATTTCTGACATGTTTTGGTTGGATTGTTCAGGGATTGTGGGAAAGAGCTGGGGACGTGTCGGGATCAGACCAAGATCATGTATGCCTGGGCCAGGAATGCTCCTCCAACCAAACTACCCAAAGGTGCTCTCCTTTCTCCTCATCATTTCTGTCTGACGGCAGCCAGATCAATCCACTCTGAGTTCAGCCAGTGCTGTTATAATAACTTACAAGTGATCATGAGTAAATGGCTCTTTCTTGAAAAACAGTGACAGAAGTCATCTTGTTTTGCCCTCTTTTTTGTTTTTTGTTTTTTTCAGATGTTGGCTTTAAAGTTGGAGGAGACACCAGAATTAACTACTTTGTGCTGCAAATTCACTATGGTGATGTCAAAAATTTCAGAGGTAAGTACTGATAAATAGCTGATCAGCATGCTTTAATGACAGCAGCATCAACCAAACTTGACCTGCTGATCAGAAATGGACTGTGTATGATGACATTAGTTAACATTTTCATCAACATTTACTCACTCTCCTCTCATTGTGACATGATTTTGTGGCTACGTGCATGTTCTGCATAAAACAGCAGTATTTGAGCAATCTTGGTGACACGAGATGTGACTAATGTGTTTATCTTGTCTTGATTTTAGATCATCATAGCGACTGCTCAGGACTCACTTTAAGAATGACTTCCAAACGGTAAGTTATCGCCACTAGATCTAAGAATATCTGTGATTTATTCATAAGATGTAGCCTACTTTTTGTCATCATTTACTCACTTTCCTGTTGTTCCAAACACGAATGATTTTCTTCAGTCGATGATGTTTCAAGCCTGACATGACTGAGCTTTTTTGCAAAATGAGATTTGAAGAAGGAAGATTATCAAAGAATTATGACTTAAATTTGGGTTGGTTTATCACACAAAGATAATGTATGGATTAATTGCGAATGAAGTACTTCAATGGCGATTTTTCCATGTCTTGGAAAATATGAATGTGTTGATGGAACCTGAAAATGACAGTATTATTGTCAGTGCATAAGTTTGTTTGTTTATTTATCAATTCCTTGATTCTGATTGGTCAATAGAGTCATTGTACTGTGTATATATATCACTGCAGAGCTTCCATTACGTCCATTGTGTTCTCATTGATCTGCTAAAGCATGTTTTAATGTGAGTGGAGAAACCACAAAATACAGGCTAAGAGGTTTACACAGCATAATGTACGCCTGTTATGTTTGTAAAAGGTACATAAATCGGTGAGGATGCAATACACTTGTGAAAATACTTGCGCAAACAAGTCATCCACTAGGAACTGAATCAATATAAGCTTTTTTTTTATTTCACGTGGTGACTGTTGTATAAAAAACAAAGGACCTCTAGGGTAGATGCTATATTTCAAAGGGAAATGTTGACCGTAGTAAAAAAAAAAACCCTGTGCCATAATTTATTTAAATACATTTCATCCGAAGTATACTTCAAATCCATTAACACATTTAGTGGCATCACTTAAGACTTACTGATATAAACCATTGCACTTCATTACTACTTTTGCACTATTAAAGTGCATTAAGCACAAAGTTAGTTGTTCCAATTTAGCAGACTTTAAGTAGACCAGTTTAGTATGCTAAAAGTACAATTACAGGGCATTTTTATTAAGCGTGTAAATGTATTTGTAGTATACTTAACACAAAATAATAAGTACATTTAGTATTTTTTCACTTGGGTAGGGATTACTACTTAAGGTGTGCATTATTTTTCAATAATGTGATGCTGTTAGTTATTCCTTACATAGTCATATGCATATTACATAGACTGTAAATTTGATTTAATATGTAAGCAATTCAATATGGAAGTCAATAATAGTGTGGTGTGTAATTAATTTTAATGTGATGACTGTTGTGTGCTCTGTGCAGACAGCCCTTTATTGCTGGCATGTATCTGATGATGTCTGTGGACACCGTCATTCCTCCAGGGAAGAAAGGTACACCCAATCTGTGACATTTCAACTGTTTGGCACTAATAGTCTTGTGAAAGGTGTCTGAGTTTTACCTTGAATGTTGTGATTGGTTATCAGTGCTTGTCATCTCATTTATGACGTCTGATGTTTTTGGTGTCTGCAGTTACCAATGCAGACATTGCTTGCACTTACACATCCTCCCCGATGTATCCATTTGCCTTCAGGACACACACACACAGCCTCGGTGAGATACTGCATTTATTTACATCAACTTAGTTCTTATTTAGTCTTACATTTTATGGTGCTAACATATCTTGATCTTGTTGTGTGTCTTGTTCTTCAGGTAAAGTTGTGAGTGGGTACAGGGTTCGAAATGGACAGTGGACTCAGATTGGACGCCAGTCTCCACTGCTGCCACAGGTACATTTAAACGTGTCCACTCTGCCTGATCGAGCATGATTAATGCGTGGCATCTACAGAGGAAAGTTAATGCATCATTTGTCTCTGATAAGAGTTATGACCCATCAGTGTCATAGCGATATTTGTTTTCCTTGCTGTCAGACCCGTTTCCACTCTGTCTGTGGTATTTACAAAGGGATCAGTAAGCGCAATCCAATATCCAATACATGCATAATATAGAGTGCACACACATATACGCACAGTATGCATTACTAGAGTCCAGCATGCTCAGCAACTGCTGAGTTGTCTTGTTTAGAGACATGAACGAAAACAGCGTGTTTCTGCTTCCACTCTAAATAGGCATTTTCAAAATGATATAATAAATGATCAGTGGTGTATTTGGAGCTGAAACTTCACAGACACCTGAGACTTTTATTACACCTTGTAAAAAGGGCATAATAGGTCTCCTTTAATGTTTAAGGTGTTTAGTTCACCAAAACAAGAACAGTCTGTCATTATTTACTCGCCCTCTTGTCATTGCAAACAAATTAGACTTTTGTTCGTCTTTGAAACACAAATGAAGAGATTTATTGGCAAGCATGTTTGATCTTCTGTTTGCTGTCTTCATTAAGTGACCGTGTCTATTCAGAATTGTATGGATTACTTTTACAATGTCTTCATGAACTTTTTGAAGCTTGAAAGTTTTGGTTACCTTGACTTACTTGCAATCATGAGCCGAAATCTCTCAGGTTTCATTAAAAGTGTTTGACCTGTGTTTTGAAGAGGAATGAAAGTCTTATGGGTTTGGATCGACGTGAGGGTGACATTTTTTTGTTTGAACTAACTTATAAACTTCACTTGTGTTTAGGCTTTTTATCCAGTCACCAACACCATCGATGTAAGAAATGGAGACATACTGGCAGCCCGTTGTGTGTTCACAGGAGAGGGAAGAACCGCTGTTACCCAAATCGGGTAAGTCCATGTTCTGGCCAATCATTGATTCTTATTTTGAATCAATGTTTCAAATGCCTAATAGCATTGTTTAAATGTGTAACCGATGTCAGATTTCCTATGGGAGAGTTCAACTTTTATTTTTGTTCATTTATTCCTATGTAGAGTTACTGTGGCAGTAAGTGTGTTAGATGAGAGGTGATGTTGTGCATGCAGTTGACATGTACAGCTTCTCCCTTTCACTGTGTTTGCATGGTGTTGGATTGGTGTAATTGTGTCTCTGACCATCTCTCTTACTATGTCCATCTGATAAATTGACACTGTGAGACAGGTGGTGACTGTGTGTTTCTTTGTGTGTTTAAAGAGTGATTAAACACGCAGTAGGTTGGCTCTGTGTTTCATCATATTCCGTTTGAGCGTGACTCCTTGAACGTATGTGTTCCTCTGCCCTGCCATGCCTGTTACCATGGTGATAGGGAGAGCACATAGTGCATTGACGCATCTCCCAGGAAGCCCAGCGCTCTCGCCCACGCACCCAACTCGAGTCCACAAGATGACGATGTAAAGATGACTGTTGATGTACAGTCTGGTCTTTGGCACCAAGAACTGCCCACTTATGCAGAGACATATGTACAGAAGTACACATATATAAATACATTGCAGATGCTTGGTCCCATTATACATACAGTGCTGTGAAAAAGTAAGTGCACCCCATGAGAACATATGTGACCCTGGACCACAAAACCAGTCATAAGGGTCAGTTTTTTTCCAAATTGAGATTTATATAATCTGAAAGCAGAATAAATAAGCTTTCTATCGATGTATTATCACTGTTATTATTTTATAGTCATATTGTTATATAATCACAGGATTATTGGCCAAATTGTGCCGCCTACAGAACACAGCAAACCTGGAGTTTGAAAAAGACATCAAAAATAAAATGCCTTCTTTTATTTATTTTTTATTTTTATTTTTTTTACTAAAATCGTGTAGTTGTGCACAATTTCTTTTTTGCACAGAAATTGTAAGCATTGCACACATTGAATGGAGGCATATTTGAATATGAATCATGCTGTTCTGACACAATTTGGAATGCAACAATGCAAAAATAAAGTTTGCAAACACGGCAAGTTTTTGTGTTAATTCTGACCAAAGTGCCATCTGATCTACACGTAAAACAACCAGAAACGGTTTACTATTTTCGTGATATTTAGGGGTGCGCCTGAGAACAAACCAAAATATATACTGTATCTCCTTTACTAACTAAGCTGCAAAAACAGTGGAAACCCAACAGGAGTATGCAGTTTTGAGAAATATGTTTTGAGGGTCTGTGGGTGTGTCATTTGAGCCAAATACAGTTCGATTGGTTATCTGCAGTTTAATTGCAGCTTTGGTGCTGTAATTTGTCATTTTGTGCTAGTAATTGGTTCATGTGTCATTGTGTCCTTCCTCACAGAGGCACCTCCAATGATGAGATGTGTAACTTCTACATCATGTACTACATGGACAACACCCGTGCTGTGCCTTACATGAACTGTGGAGATGACGGCAGTAGTGAGCTGTTCCGAAACATCCCTTCTGAGGCCAATATTCCCATCCCGGTCAGTCCAGACCATATGATGTCCATGAAGCATGAGTCAGCTCCTCATAAAGGTACCATCCAAGAATAGACGGTTGAAGATTTTACACTATGAGTGGGCAGTATGACTGAAGTATTATACCATGGGATGAATGCATTACTTTTAGGGATAATCCAGTGAAACCAGAATCCAGTTAATATTTTGCAAATTAAATATACTTGATTTTGTTGTTGTTGTTGTTTTTTCTTATTTCTTTCTTGATTTCCACAGATGTTGTGGAGCTGCAGGAGCCCAAGAAAGAAGAGGAAGTTCTGGATCAGGGTAAGATGTTTAAAAATACTTTCAAATTACAGAGATAATCAAGACTGAAACACACAATCACTGCTTGAATACCATTGCAAATCTCGTTTGACAGACACAGTGGCTGAATGACATTCTTTTGTTGTGAAAAACACAGTGGAAAAAAACAGTCAAACTGTAGTACAACTCATAAATAGAGGCTCATAGACATGAGTGTGTCAGATAAGGGAGATGTCCAAATGGAACAAAAAAATCAAACAGGTTTTGAGTGGCATGAGCCTTGATAAAATGTTAAACACTTCACACATTATATGATTCATTAGTGACATGAATAACTTTAAAGAAAGGGATATTATGGAAACCAAACAAAAAACCACCATCATCTACTACTCCATGTAGCTGTCAATGAAAATCAGCTGTGTGTGTTGACATGTTTATCGAAGATTTTTTTAAGACATAAAAAAATCACGTTTTCTTTCATCGTTTAGCTTGTAAATTAATTCTGCAACTGTTTGATTATGAATGCACTAGTGCATGACAGCCTTTACAGAAACACATCAACGCCTTTGACGTTAAAGGGGTCATCGGATGCAAATTTCACTTTTACGTGTTGTTTGTACGTAAATGTGTGTTGGCAGTGTGTGTTACACAACCACCCTATAATGATAAAAAGCCACCCAGTGTTTTTAAAAAATTTTTTATCCCTATAAATAATATCCCCTTTCTCCAATCATTAGCATTTAAAGAGACATGCAACAAAACGGGTTGCTGTGAAGTTAGCTGTTTTTGACAGGGTAAAAAGGGTGTTGTTTTACACTACCACTGAGAAAATTTTTATGAAAGTATGTTATAGACTTTTCATTAAGACCCTAAAGCATCATATCAGCTTGTGGAAAATGGGCATTCGATGACCCCTTTAAGAGTTGTGAAACTTGTGAAATGTCTCTCACCAAACATAGTACTGTTTGTGAACATCACATTTCGAGTACCTGATCACGTTAGTTTGGGATCGTATGTATCTTTGCTACATTTTAGCATAACTTGTCAATAAGTTACAATAAAAAATTTTTATCCCTATAAATAATATCCCCTTTCTCCAATCATTAGCATTTAAAGAGACATGCAACAAAACGGGTTGCTGTGAAGTTAGCTGTTTTTGACAGGGTAAAAAGGGTGTTGTTTTACACTACCACTGAGAAAATTTTTATGAAAGTATGTTATAGACTTTTCATTAAGACCCTAAAGCATCATATCAGCTTGTGGAAAATGGGCATTCGATGACCCCTTTAAGAGTTGTGAAACTTGTGAAATGTCTCTCACCAAACATAGTACTGTTTGTGAACATCACATTTCGAGTACCTGATCACGTTAGTTTGGGATTGTATGTATCTTTGCTACATTTTAGCATAACTGTTAAGCAGTCAAATATTATTTTCACTCTGGTCAGCTTTCAGATAAATTCAGTATAAATACACATTGTTGTTCCTGAAGTTATTAGATATGTTATCACCAAAACCCTGTTTTTCATCAGTTAAACAGGTGAACAGATAACTACTAATCCACCACAATTCAAACATAAGACTGCATTCGAAGCGTTTTGCCATTTACCAACAGTTTTTAATACATGTATGGTGGGAGGAATTGATGCAATGCCAGCAGTGGGCATAAGTGATAAGGTAAAGCAAATGTTTAATTCACATCATCAAAGACAGGGATTAAACACAGTTATGACTGTGTGGGGAAAATATCACCATAACTTGACCTCAGGGAAAATAATCATATATTAAAAATAATAAGTCATGACCTATTCTCAGAGATTTCTCTGCATGAATTAAAAACAGAATCTGTTAGCATCTCATTTTTGCAAAATTTAATCCCAAGACTGCTTATATTTAGCTTCATAACAAATGTATATACCTTCCTAGTGGAAGGCTAGGCTATGAATCCTATTTATGCTTATAAAATGGCTGTGCATAGTGTTGGATTGTTCCTTTCCATATTGTGTTTTTTTTTTAATAAAACAAAATTATGAATTATTTAGATTTATGAATGTTATGTATTAGCACAGCTTCCTGTGGAGACAGAACAGTGACTGAATTTTGCCTATGCAGTACTCACTTCCCAAACCATCTCCACAATACTTTTGGCATTGTTTTAAATGCATAGTCCAAACATGATTGAAAAAGATAGACCTATCATGCATGCTTTCATTTGTATGGATTTTTGGACTACAAACAGCTTGTCAATAATAATACTTATTTCTCAAAATAAGTATGGATTTGTTAGATTGGAATTGTTCAAGGATTGTATACATTTTGTGTAGAGACTTGGCTATATTTGTTTAAGCCACAGCTGTTGCATGGCCAGTAAAATACCTTGCTGCATCTTGAAGCTTTTTATGGCCACTCTGACCTGAACCTTGGGGTGCGAGTCAAGATGGGTTGAAAGGCAGTTAGTTAATAAGAAACAACATTTGGACCAATGAGAAATCTTTTCCAGTGGTAATGGGATCTTCTTCTTGCTCTGTAGGAGGTGTCTGGCAGTTGACTTAGAAGACTTATGTTAATATCCAAGATTCAGTGGAAATCTATCAAACATTTCACCACTGGCAGTCAGAGAAGGTCCTTGCTGCTAACTACACTGTTGGCCCTTACCGTATATATATATATATATATTTTTGACCAGTAATCTTTCTAAATTAGTGTAAAATCTAATTTGGTAATGCTTATTGATTATGGAAAATCAGAGTGGATTTGATTCTGAGCTGGTGAAATGAAATTACCAACAGAGTGGTGACATCACATCGTCAGGTAAAACAAAACATCAACCAGCACTTCATTAAAAAGCGTCACGGTCGCATTAAATCTCATATAGCAGCAGAAGGCATTTTACAATTGCCCTGCAATGAAAAGAGCTTTTCTCAATTAAAGTGCTGTTAAAGCCCAGGCTGAACAGATTGGATGAGTGTTTCTAGAGCCTACACAGAGGCGCAGCACAATGGTGTTTAAAGGGATGCATCAGGTGTATCCTTCACATCTTCTAATCACCCACAATCCTTTGCACATAGTCCCTATTCACAGAAAAACTATTCAGCACCGAACTGGCTCAAGTTCATCATGAAATGTTAAGGAGCTGTCAGAAGAGAAGTTGACAACAGTGGTACAGAAACCTGGGCAATGCTTCAGGGATTTGCTTATGATTACAGAGCCCTTTGTGTGTGACAGAAGCCAGACTTTAAAGAGAAAGACCTGGTATATAGGAAATTAAACAGCAGGAATTTATCAGGGGTACCATCACCAAAGTAGAGCAGCTAATAAATGCTGGTTCTGTGGTTCTTAATGCCAAAAACAGAGACATTTAAGGTAGAATCACCATAAAATGGACCTACTGTACAAAGCCAGAATATCATCTACGAAAGTTGCCTGTTTGGACAATCAGAGGTTTCTGTTTGATAGAATATTTCACCAGGCCTTAGAGAAAGACACAGTCATTGATACTTCTCCAATGTCACCGATCTATGAGACACTGGAGTCCCAGATGGTGCTGGCTGGTTCAGCACACTAAACTTGTTAGCTTACTGTCAGGTAGGGAGCTGCTCATGTTCTGAAAGTTTGGGGTCACTTAGAAATCTCACATTGTTCATGAAAACATACATCAAATAATTGTTTTTTTTCTTTCGTCAAAGAATCTTCCATCTGTAGATCTTTGACATTCTATTCATCAATTATTTCAGGTAATCTGAGGAAATGTCATCCCATCTCCCACAAGCAGTTGCCACCTTAGTGCTATTCTATTTATTAATAAGTTGAAGGTGTCCCACTTTACATTAGGTGGCCTTAACTACCATGTACTTACATCAAAAAATAAGTACAGTGTACTTACTGTGTTCATATTGCAAGATTAGCATGTTACTAACATGATGTTAACATGATTAACAAATTACTAGCATGGTTAACAAAGTTACTAGCATGATTCTAGCATGATTAGCATGTTGCTAGCATTTTCTAACATGTTTAACATGTTACTAGTATGATTAGCATGTTGTTAGCATGATTAGCAAGTCACTAGCATGTTGCTAACATGTTTCTAGCATGATTAACATGTTACTATTATGTTCTTAGCATGTTTCTAACATAATTTGCATTGTTACTAACATGATGTTAGCATGATTAGCAAATTATTAGCATGGTTAACAAAGTTACTAGCATGATTCTAGCATGATTAGCATGTTGCTAGCATTTTCTAACATGTTTAACATGTTACTAGTATGATTAGCATGTTGTTAGCATGATTAGCAAGATACTAGCATGATTAGCACGTTACTAGCATTTTGTTAGCATTTTTCTAGCATGATTAACATGTTACTAGCATGTTGTTAGCATGATTAGCAAGTCACTAGCATGTTGCTAACATGTTTCTAGCATGATTAACATGTTACTATTATGTTCTTAGCATGTTTCTAACATACTTTGCATTGTTACTAACATGATGTTAGCATTATTAGCAAATTATTAGCATGGTTAACAATTTACTAACATATTTCTAGTATGATTAGCGTATTATTAGCATGTTGTTAACATGAACAGTAAGTTACTAGCATATCTCTAGCATGATTAGCATGTTACTAGCATGTTGTTAGCATTATTAGCAAGATTCTAGCATGATTAACATGTTGCTAGCATGGTTCTAGCATGATTAACGTATACGTATGTGTGTAATTATAAATGTAATTACAGAAATGAATTACAAATGTAATTACATGCAGGTATTTCTAAAAATAGAAGTACAAGGTAAAAACATGTTTGTACTGTACACAATAAGTGCCTTGTACCAAATGATTAATTTAAAGGGGACATAATACACACAGTTTCACCCAATCTCATGTTACTCTTGAGTACCTCTAGAGTAGTACTGCATCCTTCATATCTCCAAAGAGTCTTTAGTTTTATCATATTTATAAAAGAAAGATACAGCTTTACGATTCTCTCCGGAAACAGCCGAGTTTCTTGAGGTAAAGAGTG